AGTAGTAGTAGTAGTAGTAGTAGTAGGAGTAGTAGCAGTAGTAGTAATATTAGTAGTAGTAGTAGTAGTAGTAGTAGTAGTAGTAGTAGTAGTAGTAGTAGTAGTAGTAGTAGTAGTAGTAGTAGTAGTAGTAGTAGTAGTAGTGGTAGTAGCAGTAGTAGTAGTAGTAGTAATAGTAGTAGTACTAGCTGTTGTTGTTGTAGTCGTAGTAGTAGTAGTAGTATTAGTAGTAGTAGTAGTAGAAGTAGTAATAGTAGTAGTAGTAGTAGTAGTAGTAGTAGCAGTAGTAGTAGTAGCGTAGTAGTAGTACTAGTAGCAGTAGTGGTAGTAATGGTAGTAATAATAGTAGTAGTAGTAGTAGTCGTAGTAGTTGTAGTAGTAGTAGCAGTAGTACTAGTAGTAGTAGTTGAAGTTGTAGTTGTAGTAGTAGTAGTAGTAGTAGTGGTCGTAGTAAGGGTAGTGGTAGTAGTAGTAGTAGTGATGATAGGAATAGTAATAGTAGTAGTAGTAGTAGTAGTAGTAGTAGCAGTAGTAGTAGTAGCGTAGTAGTAGTACTAGTAGCAGTAGTGGTAGTAATGGTAGTAATAATAGTAGTAGTAGTAGTAGTCGTAGTAGTTGTAGTAGTAGTAGCAGTAGTACTAGTAGTAGTAGTTGAAGTTGTAGTTGTAGTAGTAGTAGTAGTAGTAGTGGTCGTAGTAAGGGTAGTGGTAGTAGTAGTAGTAGTGATGATAGGAATAGTAATAGTAGTAGTCGTCGTCGTCGTCGTCGCCGTCACCGTAGTAGTAGTAGTAGCAGTAGTAGTAGTAGTAGTAGTAGTCGTAGTAGTAATAGTAGCAGTAGTAGCGTAGTAGTAGCGTAGTAGTAGTAGTAGTAATAGTAGTAGTAGTAGCAGCAGTAGTAGTCGTAGCCGTAGTAGTAGTAGTAGTAGTAGTAGTAGTAGTAGTGGTAGTAGTAGTAGAAGAAGTAGTAGTAATAGTTAGTAATGGTAGCCGTAGTAGTACCGATTATAAGAAATAGTAGTAGGAGCGGAAGTAGTAGTAGAATAAAAGGAGTAATACAAGTAGTAGTAGCAATCGTAGTAGTAGTAGTAGTAGTGAAGTTAGTAACAGTAGTGGTAGTAGTAGCAGTAGTAGTAGTAGTAGTCGTAGTAGTAGAAGTAGTAGTAGTAGTAGTAAGAGTAGTGGTAAGAGTAGAAGTAAGAGTAGTAGAAGTAGTAGTAGTAGTAGTAACTGAAAAGGAGTATTAGTAGCTGTTGTGGTAGTACTAGTAGTAATAGTAGTAGTAGTAGTAGTAGGAGGAGGAGGAGTAGGAGTAGTAGCAGTAGTGGTAGTGGTGGAAGTAGTAGTAACCAGTAGATAGGTAGATCTGTAGATACGTAGCTAGGTAAGTAGGCAAGAAGGCAGGTAGGTAGGTCGGTAGGTCGGTAGGTCGGTAGATCGGTCGGTCGGTCGGTAGGTATGTTGGTCTGTCGGTCTGTCAGTCGGTCGGTCGGTCGGTCGGTAGGCAGGTAGGTAGGTACTAGTAGTAGTGGTAGTAGTAGTAGTAGTAGCAATTGTACTAGTAGTAGGTGTAGTACTAGTCGTAATATCATTATTAGTAATAATAATAATAGTAGTAGTGGTAGTTGAAATAGTAACAATGGTAGTAGTAGTAGTAGTAGTAGTAGTAGTAGTAGTAGTAGTAGTAGTAGTAGTAGTAGTAGTAATAGTGGTAGTAGTAGTAGTAGTAGTCGTAGTAGTAGTAGTAATAGCAGTAGTAGCAGTAGTAGTAGTAGTAGTAGTAGTAGTAGTAGTAATAATGGTAGTAGTAGTAGTAGTAGTAGTAGTAGTAGTAGTAGTAGTAGTAGTGGTAGTAGTGGTAGTAGTAGTAGTAGTAGTAGTAGTAAGAATAGTCGTAGTAGTAGTAATAGTAGTCGTCGTCGTCGACGTCGTCGTCGTCGTAATCGTCGTCGTCATCGTCGTCGTCGTCCTCGTGGTCGTCGTCGTCGCGGTCGTCGTCGTTGTCGTCGTCGTCGCCGCCGTCGTCGTGGTCTTCGTCGTCGTCCTCCTCGTGGTCGTCATCGTCGTCCGCGTCGAGCCGTGGCCCCCCTACTCGTCCCGCACGCCCCCGCTTGCCCTCCCATGCCGTGGGCGCGCGGTTGGGCCTTTGGCACCTCGCCCGTGAGCAGCGGGATGAGCAGCACCAGGGCTGGGGGCGCTCTTCTCAGGTCGGGTGGAGGGATGGGGATCAGCTTGGATGAAACATCTTGTGTGTATGTGTGTATCTATATATATATATATATACAATCGGGGCGTTGACCTAAGGAACCCTAAATAAGGAACGAGGCCCCTTTTTTCATAAGTTAACCGTCGACTTCCTGTCGAAAACCTAAGGGAAACCTGAGGCAAGCTGCGAAACAATCAAGGAGCACGGAGCCCCCTCCCCAACGAAAAGGGTTCCTTCTTCCGGGCCCCGACTGTATACGTTATGTACATGGCCGAATCCAGCCTCCATCCAGACAGGCTGCCACCTCTCGGGGCCGCATCGTTCCACGTCCGCCCAGGCCTCGCCGCGTCGCCGCCCCGCGGCCGCCCCGCTGCCGCCCCGCTGCGGCCCCCACCCCGGGGGGCCCGCCGAGGCTCTCGCAGCGTCGTGGCCGCCCCGTGGCCGCCCCCGTGGCCGCCCCCGCGGGGGGGCGATCCGCCGAGGCCTCGCCGCGCCGCCGCCCCGCGGGTCCGCCCCGCTGCAGCCCCCCTCGGCGGGGCCGCCGAGGCTTCGCCGCGCCGCCGCCTCGCGGCCGCCGCGTGGGTTTGGGAAGTCCGCCAAAGGATTCGCCGCGCCGCCACCCCGCGGCCGCCTCGCTGCCGCCCTCCTCGGCGGGTCCGCCGAGGTCTCGCCGCGTCGCCGCCTCGAGGCCGCCGCGCGGGTTGGGAAGTCCGCCAAAGGATTCGCCGCGCTGCCGCCCCGTGGCCGCCTCCTTGCCCTTGGGGGGGTGCGCCGAGGATTCGCGACGCTGCCTCCGGGCGCCGCCTCGTCACCGCGCCACTGCACAGCTTATCTCACACAGCTTGCACCGTACAGCCTGCACCACGTAGCCTTGCACCACATGGCTTGCACCACATAGCCCACACATCCACAGTGCCAGCACTTACTGCTTGGGGCCCACGCTGGCGAGCATGATTTTCTCAGTGTGTCGCTTCCCACGCTTATCAACTCAGGATGGCCTCATAAGACACTCCCAGAACCCAAGTAGAGCCCAAGATGGCCCCAAGAGCAAACAAGACGGCCCAGGCGGTCCAAGGAGCACTCTAGAAAGGCCTAGAATGCCACAAAAACTATCCCAAAGCAATCCGAAACTACGCAAAGACACCCAGCAAAGGCCGCGGACCCGAAGACGGCCCAGGGGGACCCCAAGACAGCTCAACAGGGCCCCAAGAGAACCCTCAGAGGCCTGAAATAGCTCCCTGGAGACCATCCGGTGCAGCCCCCACGGTCCGAGCGTGCCTCACGAGAGCCCAGAAAAGGAGAAGGACTGTCCTGAACAATCAGATTGCCAAGGAGCACGCGAACTAGTCAGCCGGCGGCGGGCTCCCCTGCGCGGTGGACAGCCTTTGCGCTGACCGACGCGCCCAGAAATTGCCCGCGCCGCAGAGGCATAGATTGTGCCCCCCCATTCCTGGAAGAGAAACCTGACCTGACAAGAACGGGAAGCGAATGTTCGAACGTTCCTTGCAGGTGTGGCATCACATGGGGAAGTCAAAACTGGAACGCTTGTGCGAACGGGAGGGGACTGCGCGGTGCCCGAATCAAGGATCCCTCGTAAAATATACGACGCTCGCGCTCCCGAGGCGCAGATCCCTCGTAAAGTACACGCGATACGCGCCTCCGAGGCCACGACCCATTGCAACGCACTCTGGGTTCATCCCTCGGCGACCAGGACCCACAGAAGTGCAGCCAGATTCACGCCCTGGAACCACTATTACTTGTATTGTGCGCAAGCGGTCAGTTACCACGCGGCCCCCGCGTCCACCTTCAAGATCCCGAGCTATCCGCCATCCCCTTGGGGTTCGGTCCGGCTGGCTTGCAGGGGGGGGATCCGGTTAAACGGACTAGATCCCTCACCCCTCCCAGGAATGCCTAGGATGCCTCCGGCCGTCTCCGGCCACTCCAAGATGATCCAAGACGGCCCATTATATTTTGAATACGACCGGAGATAACCCCAAGACGGTCCAAGAGGCCTGAACATGAAGCCCTCTTGGATCCCTCTGGCGCCGTTTTCGGGCCCTCTTGAGCTGTCTTGGGGCTGTGTAGACCGAATCCGGGATAAGGAGATGGAATATCTAGTGACCTTCGGTCCATCCCGCCGCCGTGCTGGGGTATTCAGAATGAGACGAAGTGAAAGTTCGTTGGGCTCTCTTGGGAGGCTTCTCGCGGGCCGTTTTAGGTCCTCTTGGGGCCTCTTTTGGGCCTCTTGAGGGTCTTTGGGGGCGTCTTGGGGGCCTCTCGGGGGCCTCTTGGGACCTCTTGGGCGCCTCCTGGGGCCTCCTAGGGCCGTCTTTGGGCGGGATGCTCCGATTTTCGATTCGGGCTCTCCCTCCTGGGCCCCTCTTCGGGCCCTCGTGGGCCTTCTTGGGAGCCTCTTGGGCCGTCTTGGCGCCCTCTTCGGCCGTCTTGGGCGCCTCTTGAGTTTCTTGGGCCGTCGCGGGTCGGTCTTGAGGGACTCTTGGACCGTCTTCGACGCCGTGAAGACGAGAAAATCGCACATACAAAAAATATACGTTTTCCCATGGGAATTTGACGATTTTGGTCTCTTGGGCCCTACATTTTAAACATGCACGTTTTTTCGGCCTTCACGGCGTTGACGACCGCCCCAGTCCCCTAAGACGGCCCCCAAACGGCCCGACAGGCTCCCAAGAGGCGCTCAAAACGGCCCAAGAGGGCGCCAAGACGGCCTAAGAGGCTCCAAAGACGGCCCACGAGTACCCCAAGACGGCCCAATGAGGGCCCAAGAGGAGGAGCCTGAATCAACAAGCCTAGCCTTCTGCCCCAAAACGGCCCCAGGGGGACCCAAGAGGCGCTCAACAGGGCCCATGGGGCCCCAAGTGGCCCCCCAAGAGGCCCCAAGAGGACCCCAAGAGGCCCCAAGAGGCCGCCAAGAAGCTTAAAAGAAGCCCCAAGTACCACTAGAGGCATGTAACTTCTAACCCGCAGCCCAGGCACCAAGGATCTCAGGCCGACAACCAAGGCACGGTGGCGGGATGGGCCGGCGGCCACTTCACATAAATGTATGTGTATATATATATATATATATATATACAGCTATAAACATATATACATATATATTATATGATAGTATAATAGATCATATCATATTATATCATATTATATTATATTATATTATATCATATTCTATTATATTATATTATATTATAGTATATTGTATTATATCATATTGTATTATATTGTATTATATTATATGATGATATATTATATTTTATTATATTATATTATATTATATTGTATTATATTATATTATATTATGATATAATATAATATATTATATTATATTATATTATATTATACTATACCATATTATATTATAGTATAATATAGTATACTATATCATATAATATTATATTATATCATATTATATTATATTAGATTGCATTAATATATATTATATTATAATATATTCTTTTATATTATAGCATACTATATTATATGATAGTATACTAAATATGTGTATATATATATGTTCATGAACTGCCGTGGGCATCTACCTCGATTGAGAAGAAGAATAAGAAGAGGAGAAGGACGAGGAGGAGGAAGAGGAGGAGGAATAATAACAAAAAAGAAATAATATTTCGTCGTCGCCGCCGATGCCTCACACATGTTCGTGGTCTTTCGACCACCCGAAGCATCTCCTCGAATTCAGCCTCCAGGAACCGTTTTCGGTGCCGGGGACCACCGCCGAAAGTCCCGGATGAGGATCGGCTTCCCTGGCAGATGCCACCCCTTCGCAAAGGAAGGAACACGGGGTGGATCGAGACTCGAGGCATGAGACTCCTAGTTCTTGGGCGCTCTCCGCCCCCTTCTGGGCCTTCAGGAAGTTCCTCGTCGACACAGCTGGGTCCACTCTCGAACTTCCGGCCGGACGCAACCCCAGCTGAGTCTCAACGATCCCCGAGCCTATCCAGGAGGTGGAAAAGGAGGCCTGGGACAGGCCCCGTGAAGGCCCCAAGAAACTCGCATAAGACCACGAAAAACCTCAAAACAATCCCCTGCAAGGCCCCCCCTTGAACCCCACACGCTACGTAGGACAGGCCAAAAACCCAAGATTGCCCGGCGATCGCGCGCGTTCCGCAAATTCTGTCTTTCACTCTTGCTGCCGCCCCAAGGGGTCGGCGGTGCGGCGTAAGCCAATGGATCTTGGGAGGATGAGGGGAGGTCTGGGACTGCATGGTCCTTCTGAAAGCCAGGCCACCGCACGATGTACAAGCCCAGCCGCCAACACGCTCGAGACGATGATGGCACTTCGCGTGGTGCGCTGTCTGATTTTGGAGGGGCACTTGGGCGACCCCCCTCTCTCTCGCCCCTCCTCGAAATCCGCCCGTGACCAAGACAAGGCCAGCCACTCTGGCGCCACTTTCGAGCAGGCCTGTGGAGGCAGAAAAAAACAAGCCAGCCAGGTTTGCCCTTCGCAGATGCTGGGGCCATGGGGAGAGGCCAAGTACGCGCGCACGCATGCAAGGTATAAGCACAAACTGTGCTAGGGTCGCCCCAAGAATACCAACAATGCCGACCAAACATACCAAGAATAGCAAACCAATAATGTACACAATTTCAATTAATCTTTATGGTGCTGGTAATTAGTTTTATCGAACCAAGACGTTGAATTATTGGGGTTGCATTCGTGGCATCATTGGAATTCTCGGTCGGGCCACCGGCTTGCTACAGGTCCGCGCCCTTCCATTGATAGTTGTATCCTAGGGCTGCCTGAACACGAATTCCGGCGTGATGCAACAGAGCGACGTCGGTGCTCAAAGGAAAGCGGACCCGAACGACTATGCCATCAGCAGCAGTCCGCAGGCATGCCAAGCATGCCGAGCGTTGCGTGGCACCGCTTCTCCCCACGACCATCGCAGTGCACGGCGCTGGAACTGGAGCGCTGCGAGCTGGCCTTGGTGCAGACCGTGGCGAGACGCAGC